GCCAGAATCTTGATCTTGGATTTCCCAGCTTCCAGAACTGTGAGAAATAAATTTCTGTTATTTAAGTTACCCAGTCTGTGGTATTTTATTATGGCAGCCCCAGGAGACTAATACAGAGCGCCTGACATTATAAATGATAGTTCTAGAGGCTCTGGATTATGTTATCTTTCTTAACAGTGTTGCATTTTGTTTTGGCAGGCAGTACATTTACTGGTGGGTTAGCTTGTCCCTGTCAAGGCTTCATTTTAATCTCTGTTCAGGGGAGGGTCAGATTTGCCATTACTCTTAGATTATTGCCCTTATTCCTAAAGCGTGGTCCTGTAATCTTTCTGAGTCCTCAGTTGAAAGTCCAAGATGTTCAGAAAGTACTCTAAATTCTGGCTAGCCTTAACTTCAGTGTCTTCTGAGGATTTGGAGGTCTCTGAAATCCCCACCTAGCTTTCAGACCCCAGGCAGCTGCTCTTTTACTAGGTTTCCAAGAGACTCACCCAACAATGTGCAGCCCAGGAAATGGCCTAGGTCCCAGGGGCATTTCTGTACAAATATCTGGAGTTCTCTCTCCGTGGCTATCCTCTGGCACTTTAACCTTCTGAATCCAGCTGCATTAGTAGCCTTGAACTCCGATCTCACTGTTGTCTGGACTCCGAATTCATGGACCAGGGCCCTTCAAATGCCCCCAAGGAGAAAACTTGGATGACTGTGGGGCTAAACCCAAGTGCATTCCCCCTGTCAGGGATTGGTACTCAACTTTGGTTGTTTTCCAATGCTTTTAAACAGCTATTTTGTACGTTTTGGTTAGCTTTTAGAGTTCTCAGTCAGAGGGAAAGTCTAGTTGTGGCCACAATCAGACTCGCCCTTGCCTAACATCCAGCTAAATAAACAATAACAATAATAAAATAACCCCTTAAGCAAAAAAAAAATAATCACTAGCAGCAACAAAATGAGGAGAGGGTTATGATTTCTTGCAATAAAACTTCAAAAATGAAACCTCTCAGGAAATAAAAGGTCTTGGTATAGACTGCCACCTCTCTGGAAGCAGTATTGGTGAGTCATCGGATCCCGGGTGTTCTTTTTTCACTAAGAATGAACACCTCTAAATTTGGAGTGAAATGAACTAAGCAACTATCTTTTCCTTTTCTGACAAGAGGAGAGGAGAGAGTGAGCAGTTGTCATTGAAATGGCTTAGGAGAGAGAGTTGGGGATTCTAAGAACGAAGAGGGCAAGCCATTTCAAACCTGAGGGAATCTTTTCTGTGGAATGATATCTGATTCTGACAGCCTGCACTAAATCTTGGTACGGGGTCTTTAATAAAACCTCAGAAGAAAAGCAGAGTGTGTAACCTTTAACAGAAACTGCACAGAAACTCAGATGACCTCTCCTCTTGGCTTTATGTTCTCATCTCAGGATGGTAGACCAAGTGGAATGCTCAGCCCTCAAACCACTGCTCCATAGAGAAAACAAACAGGTCTCCGATAAGATAGGTACAGAATTAGAATTCATTTATTATGTATCACAGACAGTATGATGTTTGATTTAAAAAATAAACATTATAATAACTACAAAAATATGTTACACAGGAAGAAAAAGAGGAAAAGATCATGTAAATCAAAGTAGGGTAATTACAAAATAAATTGGAAACGGAAAGGAAGAGATGCGTATTCTCAATTATATGATACAGTATCTATAAGACCTTCTTGAAAACATCAAGAAATGAAGGGATTAATCAACATAAAAAGTAATAGAAAAACTATGGTAAAACAATTAAGTAAATTTATCCCATTTAAATATAGTACTAAGTTGAGACCACTCCGGGAATTAGGATTACAGAACAAATGTAAATATTGTAAATCTTGACAATAAAAAAAAAAAATACAGAAATAAAAATATAGAAAGAAGGCAGGGGAAGTGAGAGACATAATAGAACAGACAGCTAATTTCCTCCTTTTTATATTTATTTATTCATTTATTTTTAATTTCCTCCTTTTTAAATGATAATGATATTGATGAAAACAAATAAATGGTTAAATATAAACCATACAAATATATAAATAACCATATAAATAAGAATCGAAATGAATACATGGTTAAAGATAATGAATTCAGATCTCATTTTGTGTAGTAATTTTAACCTCAGAGGAAGGGATGCCTGGGTGGCTCAGTTGGTTAAGCGACTGCCTTCGGCTCAGGTCATGATCCTGGAGTCCCGGGATCGAGTCCCACATTGAGCTCCCTGCTCAGCAGGGAGTCTGCTTCTCCCTCTGACCCTCCCCTCTCTCATGTGCGCTCATTCTCTCTCTCAAATAAATAAAATCTTAAAAAATAATAAAAAATTTAACCTCAGAGGAATCTCTAAGATAAAATAACTTATGAGGCTTTAATTTCATCTTCTGCTTTATTAAGTGTATTTTTAAATTAAAAATAGCATTTATTTATTTGTTAAAATAGTACAATAGCACTTAGCATAGCTGTAATGCCATTTCGATTCATCTCTGTTCTATTATGGTAACAATGACGGTCCTCTCATGGGAACAGTGGTTATTTCTGGATAGTGTGATTTTGGGGGTGATTTTCTATTTCTTTGTATTTTTTCTACTACTTAATTAATCTAAATTGAGCATGATTAGCATCTGCACACACACACACAATTCCAGTTTTTACTGTGTTTTGGGGTTATACTGACAATCATTTACTAGTCAGATGTTTTAGCTTAAGCCTGAAGCCAGGCTAAGGGACTTAAGTATGAGAAGACCTCTGCCCAGGGGAATTTCTGCCCAGCAAGCAAATATTGAGGAGCTGTAAGTACAAAGTATACTCTGTCTTTCTTACTGATCCATGAAGCAGGCATCATAATGGGGAGTGGCTTCATTTTGGTGCTTTTCAGACAAAGGAAACACTCCCATTGAATATGGGATAACGTACTGAGATACAACACAATGGGTTCAGGCTCTAGCTAGCTACTTCATCTCTCTTGGTGTAGTACAGCAAGAACTGGAAACATGGATGCAAAATCTTCCCTAGTTGACAGAAGAGTGCTGGCCCATATCAACTAAGTGGGAAAATGGAGGGAAACAGTTTGCATAGACAAGATCCCAAAGAATTGCTTCAAAAAGGGCCTGGCTCAGGGACTTTTCAATAACTCCAATTAGATAAGGGGGGCAAAGTGGACATTTCAACTTAAGTCTATAGAAATAGATTATATATATATATATTCAGGAATACAGAACTTGATAGGGGAAGAAGGTAACATGTTAGACCGGAACAGAAATGCCACAAAATTCCATATAATTAGATTTCTAATTATCTACCGAGACAATTCTTTTCACATCCCAAACTTCAAAGACTCCCTGTATGCCGAGATGATGAAATCTCTTTCTCAGCCTTCTTTCCCAAACTTCAGACCCGTCCTATGTTCAACTTTTAACCCTATTCCATTCCAAATTCCGTATGGAAGAGAAATCAAACATATCTGGTCACAACTTGTTCTTCCTTTTCATTCACTCAACACCTTGTCTCTTGAATATTCACTGTGGACCAGGAGCAATGGTAGAGGCTGGAAATCCAGAGATAACATACAATAGATCCCAACATTCAGGAAGTTCAGGTTTAATGGAGAAGACAGAAAGAAAAATGAGTATGATGCAAACATGATGACAGACAACAGGTTACAAGACCCAAAACTGGCTCATCTTATCCAGGTGTGGGTTGTGGGGAGGAAATAGGTTAGTGGTCAGGAAAGTCCTAGAGGATAAAACATTTGTGCTTTCTCAGAGAATTGGGAAGACAGCACCTAAGCAGGTAGGCAATTCCTACCTCTGTCATGGATCTAGCTTCTTCATTCAGTCTGGCCCATGACTCTGAGTGCGCTGGCTTCCCAGGTCAGCACTGGTCCTGGAAACTGCCTCCATGGTTACATCTCTCCCATCAAGGACCCACTGCAGATTGTTCACTGAGTGCTAAGTCCCTGTCTGCTCTATACTGCAGTGGTTTTCTGGAGGCCATCCGGTATCTTGGTAAGAACTCCCCGAATTTGAAGGAAAGATGTAATAGACTATGTGATTCCTGCTCCGTTGATCTGAAGTGTCATAGTCTTTGGGAAATCATTCAACGTCTCTGAAAATCACGTCCTCATCTGTGAAAGGCTAATAATTATAATACTAGTGTTTACCCCAAGGGAGGGTGTAAATATCAAATGCGATGAGATATGAAAGCAGGTCGGGGCGCCTGGGTGGCTCAGATAAGGTTAAGCGTCTGCCTTAGGCTCAGGTCATGATCCCAGGGTCCTGGGATCGAGCCCCGCATCAGTCTCCCTGCTCCTTGGGAGCCTGCTTCTCCCTCTGCCTCTCTCTCTCTCTCTGTCTCTCATGAATAAATAAGTAAATAAATCTTTAAAAAAAAAAAAAGAAAAGAAAGAAAGAAAGAAAGCAGGTCTATCACAGCATCAATATTGATCATCTTGGTTAGGTTTGGAGGATGATGGAGTATGACTTCTATTCAAACACCAAAAGGCTGATCATGTAAGGAGAAGACGAAGGTTTTGGAATTTTGTCAAATATATAGCTATAAATTTCGATTGAATTCAGTATTTATATCTCCCCTAGCATCTCTCAGCTTCCAGTCGGGCCTGGATTTCATTCCAACCATTTACTAGCCTTGGACAAGTTATTTATCTTCTCTTTCAATTTCCTGTTGGGTAATTAAATGTACCCCAAGGGGATGTTTGAGCATCATTGGAAGTAAGGAATGGAAAACACCACGGAGCGATGCTTTCACACGCAAAGTTTTAACCGAAGACAGAGCTCCTTCTGTGAGAACCTAGAGGCCGGGAACTGAGCAGGGGAAAGGGAAGGCAGCCCCGGGGCGCAGCACGCACAGAGCAGATGTGTCTCGCTCGCGGGGCAGGGAGGCGGCGTCGCGGGAGGAACCGGCCCCTGGCCCCAGTAGGGGGCGCCGACGCGCCGCACTGCAGCATCCTGGCGGCGGAGCGGCGGCCCCGGCCGGGCTGAGCTCGCGTCCTGCCGCAGTCTCTCGGCCGCTAGTCCGGGCGAACGCGAGCGCGGAGACCCCCGCGGGTCGGTCAGCGCTGGCGGCTACCGCCGCGGCTCCCACGCGCAATCGCCGCCCCGCGCCTCGGCAACGCAAGCCGCAGGCTGGGCTGCGCAGCGTGGGAGGGCTTCGCGGTCCCGGGGGACCGATTCCGAACTTGCAGGGGACCGCGGCTCTCCCGGGCCTGCAGAGTGTGAACAGGTGAGTGTCACGCACGTGCCCAGGTGGCTCTTTCGGGACGACTTCCTGCAGACCCTTAAGACCCCCCCTGAACGCTTGGCCTTTGGGTCGGTTCTCCTGGTCACCGCGTCTTCCCAGGGCGGCTTCGGGGTTCGCTGAGAGGGAGATGTGAGCGCGGCGCCCAGAGCTTGACAGCGCCCTCCCTCCGAGCTGAGACTGGGAATGCCCTTTTGACTTAGGCTGCATTTCTCTCCAGGTTGAGAGCAAGTGACCTGCAGTCCACGTCGGGCCTGTTGATCGTTCTAGGATACCTGTTGCTTTTGGAGCAAAGCTATTACCAGGGTTCTTGCACAATTAACCTCGTCACTGTGGGTGCTGCGTTGCAAGATGAGGGAGCGTTCCTGGTAGTGAGGAGAGGAGAACTTGATTTCAGAGCTAAGGAAGAGGCTCTCATTCCCACGACCAGACTAGATGCTTTGCTTGCCTAAACAGCTGCGCTTTATTTTGATGATAAATACAGAAGTTAGAAAAACTGTTACCTTATAAAGATGCTTGCTTCCCCCCCCCCCCCAAGGAGGAAGTGGAAAGCAGGGATTTTGGTAATAAGTATAGTCTTGGGAATGATGAACGAAACCTTTCTTTCAATAAACATAAAAAAAATATAAAAATCAAGTTATTGGTGACCTAAATGTCACAGGTCTAACAGATGGTAAGCTCCTGGAAGGTAGCCACTTTTGTTTGTCTGCGCTTGGCATAATTGTGGAATGATTAATGAATGTATTAGTAATGACATAGGATTTGGAGGACAGCTTCTTCTTTTTTTTCTTTCTAAGCTTTCTTTTAGTTCCCTTATGTTTAGGGGGGGAGTCACTATGCCTTAAATCTCTTAAATATCTAGGTGTGATTTTAGGAGGGATTCTAGAAGCGACAGAAACTCAGAAGTTTTTGTCCTAGTAAGGCACTGTCCACATAATAAGTAAATGGCAACTTCTAGACCCAGCCAGAATATTTCCGTACAATAACATTAAAACAAATGTTTTTAGGTCCATGTTATGGAAGGTCTTGGATTATAAATTACTTTGAACATCAGAAAAAGGTCACTTACTACAACAATTTACACATGTATCTTTGTTTTATATCTATGTCAAATGTAACTTTTCACATTTTTATGTGGAAAACAAACTGTTGAAAGATGCATGTCAGTTTGTGTCTTCCTTTAAGTGATTTTTCTACAATAAGCAGCTGTATCTTTATAAGTGAAAAAATTAACCTACACAATTTCTCTTTCTTATGTGAAATTCCTATACCTCTGAGGCTCATTTGGGAGTTCATGAAATATTTGACTTAACAAATGTTTTTTAAAAATCACATTTGATGGCCACTTTCAGGAACTATAAATAAGATAGATAATTACTTAGTAGTTTTATGTGCATGGGAATGAACAATTTTGCACGAGATAACAAATTGTTGTTTATACAAGCTCCAGACCCTTGCCTGGTCTATGTTTCAAAGAATGCTTGCCATTCTTACTTAGAATTTATGTAGTTATATATCTCAATATATTATGCTTTTGTGATGCTTCCGTAATGAAGCATGGAACTTTAAACGTAGGGCCTTTTCTTAATGAATACATATAAAATGACAAATAAGGAAATTCTTTTATCTTGAGCCAAAAATATGAGCCTGGACAAATTGCAGATGTTAAAGCTTCTGGTTTTCATACTATTAATGATTACAGAGAAATTTTTTGTTGTTGTTGTTATTGGGGGTGAGGTAAACAATAGTTAATGTCAATGTTGACCTTTTTTTTTTTTAAAGATTTTATTTATTTATTTTGACAGAGAGAGACACAGCGAGAGAGGAAACACAAGCAGGGGGAGTGGGAGAGGGAGAAGCAGGCTTCCCGCGGAATAGGGAGCCCAAAGCAGGGCTCGATCCCAGGACCCCGGGATCGTGACCTAAGCTGAAGGCAGACGCTTAACGACTGAGCCACCCAGGTGCCCCAATGTTGACCTTTTTATCCTTCAGAGGAAGCTCTGGCCCTTTGGAAATCAGCAAGTACAACATTCGTTAGGTACAAGTTGGTGGCTACGATGCATAATGAAGAAAACAATTGCATGTTCATGTCTTTGTAGAAATCCTTTTTCAGCAGGTTTTTTTACTTTTTTCTTTCTCTCAAGAAGCTCCTTTGAAAAGTTGTAGATGACAAAACGCTGGCGGGAGCACTTTACACGTTTAGATAACACATTTGTGTTGCAAAAATATCTTTGCCGACTGAAAAGGAAAAGGATGAAATGAATGAATCATGGATGTGATAAAGTTTAACAAGGATGAGAGTCAAGTTTTATATTTAGGTTTAAAACACTGATAGCAGAAGTTCCGAACGAGGGAGTCTGCAGTTCCTGAGAGAGCTGTGAGTCTTGCTGTGAGTGGTTGTATAGGCACATTGCCAGCTAAAGAACAGAGACACTCTCGGTGAACTTCGTCAGGTCCTGTCTCAAGGAGTGAATGCAGTGGACGCCATGTTTTTAGTGGTTAAGTGGCAAGTGCCAACTCCATGTGGTGAAGAGAGAAGGCAAGAGTCAAAAACAAAGCAAGACAAAACAAAACCATACAGCCCCTGAAGAACAAGGGAAAATGCCGGGTCTCATTTTCCTAGGAAGTAGTAGCACAGGATGGGACGGAGGGTCCTAATAGCTGCTAGGCTACTTGAAGGCTTCTGAGTGAATGTGAACAAAAAGTTGACGTAATGTCCACTCACCAGCGCTGACCTCAGATACCTTTCAGGTATCTGAAAGGGGCCAATCAGACACAAGATGGTTGTCTGATCTTAAGGAAGGATTCTTGCCATGGCTGGAGGATTCCTTTGGTTCACCCCAAGGCTCTTTCCAACTTTACATATTCATGGTACTAAGAACCTAGGTATCATTCCTAAAGCATGCACCTATATCAAATGTCCTTACATTGTATGTAATGTCATTTCCTAAGGGTTAGGGCAGTGTTAAGTGTTAAGCTTGCTGGTAGAAAAGGAATCAGAAGTTGAGGCATGGCATTTATCTTTTGTGTACCAGGGACATTGTGCCCAGGAAAATATAAAAATATAAACTAGATATTATATATCAACTCCTGGGACACGTATGCTTGTCACGTGACTCAGTCATTTGATCTAGTATGAACTGAGCTAAATTTAACCTTGAAGTGCAAATCCAGTCATTACAGTAGGATGGATTAAGATGAATGTATATTATCCAGATCTCAGGAAAATAAAGACTTCCAAATGTGACTGTCCCCATCATGTGTGTTGTGTGTTGGTTATTTATAGACATGGTAAATACATGTATTCACATACTTCAAATATTTGTTATCAATTAGTGACCCAAAAACAATGCCTTCATAAAAAACATCTCACATAATGCTTTTGGGTATGAAAATGCATATGTTTTAGGACCAAAGAGATCTAAGTTCAGGTCATGGATCTATCACTTATTAGTTGACTAGTTTGCAGTAAACGACTATAACCCTTTCACAGGATTGCAATGGAGGAAGATGCTGATAAAGTGAATGGTGGCTGGCAGGTAGAAGGTGCTTAAAAAACTCTAATTTCTTTCTCCAGTCACTTATGAATTCCCAAATGTCTTTTGTTCAAGGATTGCAGATTTACAATGATATGGTGAATCCAAAGGCTGGAACCAACAAGATTTTCTCAGCTCTTCAGTGTGCACGACAGTGAATTATCTACCAACACCCAGCATGGCTAAAAGTGCAGAGGTCAAACTGGCAATATTTGGGAGAGCAGGTGTGGGCAAGTCAGGTAAGTTTTTTGTTGTAGTTGTTGTAGTGTGTGTATTTGTGTGTATTTGTGTGTGTGTGTGTCTTTCATACTGCCTCCTGGGATTAGACAGAAGGGTGGTTGGCATTTCTCATAGTCTCGTGTGTTGCTCTTTTAGATGAAGTCTCTTTCTCTTTATCTAGAACTTTCCTTTTGCATAACCAGTTTTATGTACTTTTTTGCTTATTGTCAGCTCCTGACAATACCCAAGGCAATGGATATATCATAGGCTTTGGTATTCTGAGGAAGGGTACGAAACAAACCTCCAAAGAAATCAGATTGTGGAAATGAAAAAAATATATATATATTTTCTCTTGTTCCTCTTTACAAGATCCCAAGGGGCCAGTTTTATATCTCCTTCATCTTGACGTTTGCAGCAGCCAGCCCAGTGTCAAGCATGTGTTGGGTGTTTAAAAAAATGCCCGTTGAATGATTATATTCTTTCAAGACACAGAATTGCATTATTACCCAACACTTCCAAAACTGGAGGGGGGGTGGGGAAAATGTAGAATGCATGAGCTCAAGCAAGACAGCTATTGCTAGCGCCTCTCGAGTGAATTTAAATGATCGTATTGTGGCTTATACTAGTAATTCAGACTTTTTTCTCATTCCTCACCCAAGAAAAGTTGTGCAGACCTTTAAGATTAAGGGGGAAATGGTGGATGTGAAAATGTATCTAATCGAATTTTGAAAAATGTATCTCAGACTTTACAACTAAAGAATAATGCTGAAGTAGATGTTGCTAAATTCTAAGGGCAACATGGCTTTTTCAGACCATGTTGTCTCGATTTCTTCCTGGAGGAAAGAACCATAATTGACTTGGCACGCAGAGCTCTTGGTTCTCAGGAAAGGACTCAAACAGATATCTAGTAGGAGCCTGTTTGTAGAGGGAAACCCATTTGGGTCGTCCAACATAACAGGTAATCCACATAATCTTAAATAAACACACATGAATAGCTTTTAATTCTGTGACCAACCGCTCTTTCCTAACTGGCTCTCTGGTTTAAGTTCAGCAGTACATCTTCCCTATTCTAAGCCTCTCTCTCTCTCTTTTTCTTTTTGTTTTCTAAGAGTGCTCTTTTCTGCCATCACCCTTCCTTCTTACCACTCACTCTTGCCTCTGGCAGAAACCAAGCAAAGAAAATAGATAGTTGGCAAGGCTTAAAAACTGCCAGCCTTCACAAGATTGAAGATAGTTGGACTCCTCCCCATCAATCTCCTCAGTGTTTCCCCATGGCGTGAGAACCTAATTTCCATAGCTGGTGGAAGGATCTGGAGAATGAGGAAGCTTGTTCCAGTGAGAGGAGGATGAAGGGAAGGGAGTGTGTGAGAGACTCTGCTCCCAACAATAGCTTGTGTAACTCCTTCGTGAGTGGAGGGTCTAGGCCTGGGGCTCCCTGTTTATTACTCATTCATTCAAACCTTAGCCTAGGCAGTCAAAGAAGGGAATTTTTAGAACTTTGATCATTTAGCAAAATAAACTCCACATGGTTGGAAAAGCTAAGCATAAAAATTAAAATTTGGTTGGGAGAACTCCTGGTTGTATTATGGCGATCCCTTCCCCATCTGTACTGTCTCAGAGCAAGCTCTGTCCATCCTCTTTTCAGGGTTCATCTATCAGCCTGAGCTCTACCCGTTTCTTTCGTCTTCCCTTAAGTTGTTTCGATGACTACTTCAGTTACTCCTCTCATTCTCTACCAACCGTTTTCCCTTAAGCATTTCTTCTACCACACCATCTTTTTCTTTTTTCCAAGCTTATAGAATGTGGACTCTGCCCTTATTGTCTTAACTGTTTTTTACCTCTCATTCATTGCTCAGCACATGGCAATCTTCCACTGCAATCATGACCTTGAAACTGCTTTTGCTCAGATCACCACTGGTCAATAACCAACAAATCTAATGAATATTTCCTAGTTCTGATCATCTTAGGACTCTCTTTACCATTCAACACAACCACTTATTCTTTGCTAAAATTCCTTCCCTCCCAGGCTCCCATGACCTCACACTTCTTGGCTTTCTTGCTACCTCTCCATTGCTCTTCATCAGCCCACCTCTCCAAACCCAGGGCTCCCAGGGTCCTACATACCCACCTCATGTCTTCTCACTCCATACATTCTCTCCTGGGGCAATTCTTCACGCCCAGAGCTGAAGATACCCTTGCACACACAATCTAAATTGTGCTGATCTTAGTTTTATTTTATGTAAAATGCAGAAGTTGGACTTGTTCACTAAGGTCCTTTCTAACTGTAAAGTCCCATGATTCTTAATGTATGTTCTTTGGACTGGTTTCTCTATCCACCTCATATACATTCTACCAGTTGTACTTATTTTCGTGTAGGTGAAAATGACAACGATAGACTACATGAAACAATTGCCTGTTTGTCTGTCATCGATACACAGCGTTTCCTTATTTCAACATTAGACTGTCTCCCTGAGACCTGGTAACCACGCCTCACATTTAAAGGTAGTACTGGTTTGACTGCATGGGAGACGGTTCTGAGACCTTTTCTCATAGTTTAGTGAAAACAAGCACAGAGTACTTTGTATCCATCAACTTTGAAACGTGACTGTAGCAGTGTTGAACTCATGTTTATTCTAATTCTTTATTAATATGCATATATGATAGCTCTGCCTAGTTATTGTACCACATGCTCACTTTTCTATCCTATAGTCTGTATCAAGCTTATAAGTATCTTTTTTTTTTAAGTCTGTAAGAAGTTATACCTGCTAGAATGTCACTGCAGCTCCTCATTTTTTCACATGCCTCCCCACAGATGGTCATGATCTTCCCATGGGCTCAACAATCTGTTTCTCTCCAGACACCCAGCAGGAGAAGAATTTCTGGGGGAGGCAGCTTGAGATCTGGGAAAGGTAGAAGCGGAGGGTCTCTGATTGTACTGTTTCAGAGGCCTCTAGTCTCACCTATACCATCTACTTTTCCCCGCACTCACTACCAAATTAGAACTGGGGATAAGCAAGACCATGTTGTCCATTTGCTAATAGAGAGCGGTCTAGCCTGGAGTTGAGAGCAGGAGGTCTGAGGTCTCACTGTTAGGTTTGACTTCCTATTCTACACTTTATTAGTGGCCTGAACATGGCAACTTTGGCAAGTTATTTAACTTCTCAAGTCCCTCAACTATAAAAAAGATATAGGGGCACATGGGTGGCTCAGTCGGTTAAACCTCTGACTCTTGATTCTGGCTCAGGTCATGATCTCAGGATTGTGGGATCGAGCCCCCATCAATCTCCACGCTCATCGCAGAGTCTGCTTTTTCCTCTCCCTCTGCTTCTCCCCCTACTCGCGTGTGCACACTCTCTCTAAAATAAATAAACAAACAAACAAACAAACAAATAAATAAATAAATAAAATCTTTAAAAAAAAAAAAGGATATAATAGTGCCTGTCTCAAAGAGTCATTGTTAGGATTGAGTGAGCTATTAGATGCAAATCTTTTAGAACAGCACCTGGCACATAGTAAGGACTCCAGTATTCGCTTATAATATTATAGCTTTTTGAGGTATGCTCATTTTAATTTGTAAGTTTTCCAGTGAAAACATACAATGAAAGATAGATTTACATTCAAGTGAGTATTTGGGTTTTCATTAAAATCAGAAAGTTTATAAGATAAACATTCTATATTGTTACTCTGCATACCCTAAACACATACACATGCACACACACCTTTCTCTGTCTTTCTTTGAATCCAAAGTCTGGCTAATGTCAATTTTAGTTTGACTGCTCGTGATCATAACAATACTTCTTGCAGCTCATATCTTGGAAAAATGGCTAGAAATACGTTTGTGTCATCAATAAATTATCACCCTTAAATTTGAAAGTGCTTCTGGTACGTGGTAAACAGCTTCTTGAGCCCAGGTAATAGACAAGCCCTCTGTGTTTAAAGCAGAATTTAACAGTAACCAGAACTTTTTGGTTGACAGGTTGACCATAGAAGTGTTAGCACAGGCAGAATTTAATAATGTGTGACTTATAAAGGAGCACTGAAGAACATGTGATGTGTATGTGTGTGCATGTATGTATGTATCGGTATTTACATGGTCTTTTGTGATGGGAGGATTCTTTCCCTTTCTGCCTAATGTTACCTTGCAGTTCTGTCTTCAGGGGAGCTTGGTTGCTGGCTCAGCGTGGTGAGCGCTGTGGGGGATGCTGCAGACAGCATAGCCTGTGTCCCAGCCTGTCCCATCTTCTCTTGCCCCAGCAGGGTAAACATTTCCCTTACTGGCTGGGAAGGGTAGAGCACTAATAACATGGCGCGCGGGACATAGATTTCCTTACGTGTGTGCGTCAGCCTGTAATTTGACAGGCTCCAAGTGATTAAAGCTGTACCACCTGCAATAAAACCTAGAATGCACACCCTATTTATTTAAATGCTTCCTGGCTTCATATTATTCAAATTTGTAGTAAGTGTGGGAGGGGCTGAGAGAGAAACCACTGCAATTTTAAATTTAGTTTCGAAGTTGACATTCTCATTTTAGAATTGAAATATTGTGCGCCATAGCTAAATATATTTCTTGAAAAGGCTAGTCTCAAAGTTAATTGAGTATTGCTGTCTTCTAATTCAGAAGCCAGTTGGTGCGCTCATCCGTGAAGCTATAAATTGGGGGCTAAACACAAATGACCTTGTGATATATTTTTCCTGGGCACAAAGAGAAGTGATTTATTTTTCCCTTCTTTTCCTTGTTTCCTTGTTCTTGTTTGTTTTTCTCCTTCTTTCTCTCTCTCTCAATTATAAAAAAGTTTTGAAAAGCTTTTTTAATTTTATTTTTTAGTGTGACAGGGACAATTCTGATTTTAAATATGACTTTTCCAGTAAGTACCAAATACTGCTTTAATGTATATGCATGTTATATGGCTGGGTTATGTTCATGAGATTTCACATACATGAAATGAAAACAGCAAAATCAATAGCTCCTTGGGTAGGTCAGTTTCCTTATGCTATAAACCAACCTTTGTATTTTATTGTA